TATATATATATATATATATTGAAGTTTATTTATTAGATATATAAATACATAAAGAATTGAGTAGCATATCTGTAAACCTTGCAAATATACGACGGACCGACGGACGGAGCGGCACCCACCGGCGCCTTTCGCCAGTCGGTTAGCAGCGTCCCTTTCAGCTCTTCAGTAGTCTCTCACTCGAAATCTCGCTCGCAGGTTTTTCGAGGTAAAAAGGCTTCCAATTCCGTTCCTTTCCTCTCATTTCCCCTTCGCAGAGTGTTTTTAACGGCAATCAGTGAGGTTTTTGGAAGAATTATTCGTTACGTTTTCTTAATCCTGTTCTTCATCTTGTTGTGAAAAAAAGGTTGTACGGCATGGCGTTTTGCCTTGATTTCGTGGAATGGTTGGGACCGGATACTGCCTCCAGCGTGCTCTTATTTCTTGAAGATCCCGCTGATCTTGTGAGACTCAGCGCCGTTTCCCGTTCCTGGCGGCGGTTTGGTGAGAGCAAATCCTCTTCTTTTTCCGCATGAATCTGAATTGTCTGATCTTGGTATTTGAGAATTTTTGTTATGTTTAAGGAGAAATCGACGGGCTTCTAGTTGTTATTCCAGGTTTAATGGGCCATCTCTTATTTTGCTTGCTCTTATAATAATCTGAGTTCAATTATTGCGAGTTACTGAAGAAACTGGGTTTTAAATTTAAGATCTTCCATTATTTATGGCCTGAAAATGTGTCCTCATTGTCTAGTTTCTTCTCTAAATTGGCGGGGATGAGTGAATTGGCGATTTATAATGTTGATGCTATTAGTGATAGCGAATATTGAAAGTTTCTTCTTTTTATTTTGGTTTATGGAAAGGAGGATTTCTAAACAATGATTTAGATGTCCCAAGATGTGCCATACTCCATACTTTCTCTTTCTCGTCCTCGTTCACTGCGCCTCCCAACTCATAGTGCCCCCACTTCGTCTTCCCCTCATTCTCCTTGTGCTGGTTAAGCCTCTTGTTTGTTTCATTGTTAATGTTTTGTACATGCCACTGTTTTAACATTTACAAGGCATATGTGCATAGAAACTGAGTTTTGAAGGCAACAGTGTGATATGAAGCTTTTATGTTAATAAAAAATGATTTTTGTTATGAGACTTCTCATTTGTGTCTATATTCTTTAAGGATTTAAGCCTTTCCATGCAGGGGCTGTTTGATTGCATGTATTCAACACATCTGTTTTAAGGATAAAGAATAAAATAAATACAATGTATTATAGTTTTTCTGTAGCTGTTTTGCTACAAGCGTTCATACTGCATGTAATTATGGAATGTAGAATAAAGTTAATGTATTGAATTCTAATTTATTAGAATTTCTTGATTGCGTCTAAAGTAAGTTAGAAACTACTTTTTGTAACATTCAAAGTCTAATATTTTTCTAAATTTTATTATTAAGATTACCTCTTTAGTCATTGTTACAATAATATAGGACTTGTGTAATTGCCATTATTAGACAATAAAGATCTTGAAACACTGCAAATTTTAATAATTCTCATTTAGATTTTTCAAGAATTAGTAACATTAATCAATAACTACTATATATTTTAAGAGAGGAGCTAAGCCAACACTTGGATATTTAATACCTCTTTTGAGCTAATTATATGGTTCAGACCTATTTGTGACCTATTTAGTCTTAACGTGAGTTATATTTCTTTAAAATAGCATTATGTAAGGCAAAATAGTAAATTATAGAAACAAAAAATGAAGTAATTTATCATCAACAAGTTTAGCTGGGCTTCCCATAAAAATGAGTTAATTAGTTTTTTTTTTTTTGGTTTCTGAGATCAAATCAAAACTTGAATTTTTTTTTCTCTTCTAATTAAAGGAAAAAAGATTAAATATATGATATCAAATTTTAGTGAGTGTGATATTAAAAATTAACTGTCAATTCTGTTAGAAGATAAAGTGATACCTAATTGTTCTAGTTTTAAGTATCTTTGATTTTTTATATAAAACGGGGGATATGGATGAAGATTTAATTTCTGAAGTTATGGCTAAGTAGCTAAATATGAATGTATCTCAAGAGTAATATGTTGTTATAGAATCTCTCAAATACTTGGATTTGTTTGGGATAGATTTTTCATTGCTTTGCCTTTTAGATTGTCACCATGCATATGTTAGCTATTAATTTTTTTTTTCCAGAAATTTTTATGGTTAAAAATAGTTTCTTTCAACTAGATTCGTTGGTGCATGGAACTATGAGAAAGCTGGTGTTCAAAATTTTCAGAAGAAAAAACTTATAATATTTTCAATAACTTTCAAGAAGTTTTTTTTTTCTTATTCTAGTTCTACAATAATTTTTATTTATAGTGACTCCAAACTAACCCTTCATAGTAAATTTTTAAAAGTTACAAGTAAGCCCGCTATTTTGTATATACAAGCATCGGGAAATAAAAAATTCTTGATAACTATGTTGATTGTGTCAAAAAAATGACTATTAAGATGAATTTGTGGCAAAATTAGGAATAGATAAATCTTGGAATACTTATATCCTTGAGAGATTGAAACTATCATATATAAATATAAGGTAGTTGACTTTAGAGTTAGGTGGTTTGTACATGTATGACAAATGCTAGAAATTGTGCCATTTAGATGGGTAGATAAAATTATTGTCTAAAGATTAGAAAGAAAAATTATTAGACCTAAGGTAATATAGATAAAAGTTGTTAAAAAAGATTTGTGCAGAATAAAATTAACACTTTATATAGCACTCAACAGGAATAAATGAAGAATTAGAGGTTTAAAAGGCCAAACCCAAATAGTATGAAGAAGGCTAATGATGATGATGATCATCAGAAGCTTTCAGTCTACAATAGTTCTTTTCTATTAAACAGTTTTCATACGTAATATGTACATCATGTCGTCCAAGGAAAATTGGCTTATTGAGTGGTTGAAGCTATAGAAGCTGATTAAGGGAAAATTGCAAGTTGGATCAAATATTAATCACGTAGTTATATTTTGTAAGTCTTTGTTTAATTTGGGCTTGATCAATTAAACTTTTATTTGCTTTAGGCACTTGTAGATTATAAAGCAATATGGTAAAAAACAGGTGGCCATGTGGTATGAAATGGAGGTTGGAGATCATACACACACACTTGCTCGACATAGGATGGGGAGAAAAGAGAACCAAACACAAATAGTCTTTTGTATCACAGTACTTCAAATATCCAATGACATTTGTTAGTTTAATTATGACATCCATTTGACAAATATGATAATGTGGAAGGCCTATCATTTCATCGAAATAGAGCATTCATAGTGGTTTAGAAATTTAGTTCTATATGCTAATGGATGAGTTGGTATGACATCAATAATTTAGAAGAGTTGATTGATTTATTTAAGGATCCAATTTTTGTTACTAACCTCCTGATGATTTAGGGTCATCTGATGATTCTTTTGTTTGTTCTAATTTGCACTCTAATTGAATGTCAAAATGTTTAGCATGTTGAGTTTCTATTGTAAGTGTAAGTTTCATTTTCAAGAGTGTATAATTGGCATTTGAAGCAGTATCCTGTTAGATGACCTATAGTATTTTAGGGTATGATATAATTTTCTTTTAGTGAGTTTAGGTTAATATGGGAGCCATACTGCCTCATTCGCTCCTTCAACTTAGAATGTTTAGTTGCTCTCCCTATATAGCTCAAATTTAAAGATCATGATATAATTTTCTAATTTTGTATGTATTTGTGCATTCAAATTTTTTTGGGTATATTCTCTTTGAATTCTAACTTCTAAGTTTTTTTTTTCCTTCTAATTTAGGTTTCCCTGGTATATATTGATGAAGTATTTGGATCTTAAATGTGCATTCTCTGATTTTTTGTGTTTGTTTGTATGAAGCTTGAATTTGCCTATGCCGTGTTTTTGTATTCTATAAATATTTGTAATTATTAGATCCATAGTTGTTGCTCATAATTGTCGTGATTGTTATGCTTTATTAAATTAAAACAATATATTTGTAATGTGAAATATAGTTCTTATTTTGAGTAGATATAATATGATGTTTTAAATTTTTATAGGAAAGTTAAAATACTATATATATAGAAGCGTGTACGCACGTGCATGGATGGGTAGGTGCGTGCACATTATAGTTTAATTGTGATCTCTTGGCCTCTTTTTAGGCTAGATCCTAGGTAAACCGACTCCAAACCCTAATGTTTAGCCTCTTATTTAGAAGGTTGGATGGGTTACAAGAGACTTACCGAGAAGAGAATTATGAAACTTATATTAATTCATAAAATTAATATTTTTGATATTAGAGAACCCATGACAAGTCTAGCAACCTAAAACATAAAGTTATCTTTCAAGGTTCTCTTTTTAATTCTTTTGAAAGAAATTTTTCTAGTGTGAGTTAATTTTCTCTACAAGTCTGTTTCTTAATGTTAGGAGCAGCTTTAATTCATTAAATATATTTGCTACTATTATTTGTGCTAGCTATTTCCATAGTTTGAGAAATGACTTGTGGCATGATCTTAAAGACATCTCTAGTAGTTTTCTGGGTTTTTGGCTAGTTTTGGGGATTTTAATAGAATTTTTGTGATAGCCCTCCTAACCAAGGTGTCATGGACTATTTTGCTAGTACTCCTTGGATTGTAGTCTTTTGATATTGATTTCCATAATAAAAACTGAGTTCTATTACTAAAAGTGTATGGAAAATATAACATTTAACAGCTGAATTTTCTGTTTGGGCAGCTGCTTATTAGCTTATGATTGGCTAATCAGTCATTTTGAATTTATATATATAATTCATATATGTATATATTCATTTTTCTCATTTGATTTTATCATTTTATGAGGCTTAACGGCAAACATGATGGCCTTTTGGCTTGGTGAATGGGGTTCTACTAAACCATCCACGGTCTCTTTGTGGATTATAAACAAGCCAAGTTGACCATTATCATTTTGCCTTTGCTATTAGATTTTGAACACGACATTACTACCCTGCCAACCTTTAATATCCTATTGGAGGTGCTAAGTTTCTTACAGGTGCTAGAAACCCAAGTCAATGATGTTGATCAGTACTTGCTAATGACCTGTGGTTCATTGTGAGTTCAATTGTATGGATCCGTTAATGAGTTATTCTCTTCTTTGATTTGGATTGACATCAACAGCAGACGGTTAAGCTCAGGCTATATCTAAGGTTGATAGTGCTAAGGTCTTCGAGCTATGGATGATTCTAAGATCGAATGTGTGGTTGGTAGCCTTTAAATTCCGGTTGGGCCTAAGATTGATGAGTATGATTTTTCAATGTGTCATCTAAGAAATAATTTGTTTGCGTTTTATGACAACTCTTCCATATGGAAAGAGGGACGTGTTTATAACCTTTTGGGATAGTGACTGAGGAGTGCTTGTGGATGCTGGAGAGGCAAGTTATATACCTAATGGTGTGCGGCATGCCCTGAGAAGTTGGAATAGGGTGGGGGAGGTGACAACAAGTAAAGAGTTGAGATAGATTTGGTTG